AGTCCAGTTCCTCTGGACCTGGTCCAGCTCCCCCTGGACCTGGACCAACTCTTCTGGACCTGGACCAGCTCCTCTGGTCCAGATCCTCTTGTCCAGCTCTTCTAATCCAGCTCCTCTGGACCTGGACCACCTCCCCTGGACCTGGACCAGCTTCCCGTGGACCTGGACCACCTCCTCTGGACTTGGACCAGCTCCTCTAAACCTGGACCACCTCCTCTGGACCTGGACCACCTCCTCTGGACTTGGACCAGCTCCTCTAAACCTGGACCACCTCCTCTGGTCCAACTCCTCTAGTCCAGCTCCCTCTGGATCTGGACCAGCTCAACCTGGACCTGGTCCGGCTCCTCTGGACCAGATCCTCTGGACCTGGACCAGCTCTGGACCAGTTCCCCTGGTCCAGATCCTTTAGTCCAGATCCTCTAGTCCACCTCCTCTGGACCTGGTCCAGCTCCCCTGGACCAGATCCTCTAGTCCAGCTCCTCTGGACCATTTCCTCTGGACCTGGTCCAGCTCACCTGGTCCAGATCCTCTGGATCCAGCTCCCCCTGGACCACCTCCTCTGGACCTGGACCACCTCCTCTGGACCTGGACCACCTCCTCTGGACCTGGACCAGCTCCTCTGGACCTGGTCCACCTCCTCTGGTCCAGTTCCTCTAGTCCACCTCCTCTGGACCTGGACCAGCTCCTCTGGACCACCTTCTCTAGTCCAGCTTTTCTAGTCCAGTTCCTCTGGACCTGGTCCAGCTCCCCCTGGACCTGGACCACCTCTTCTGGACCTGGACCAGCTCCTCTGGTCCAGATCCTCTAGTCCAGCTCCTCTAATCCAGCTCCTCTGGACCTGGACCACCTCCTCTGGACCTGGACCACCTCCTATGGACCAGCTCCTCTGGACCTGGACCAGCTCCTCTGGTCCAACTCACCTGTTCCAGCTCCTCTGGACCTGGTCCAGCTCCCCTGGACCACCTCCTCTGGACCTGGACCACCTCCTCTGGACCTGGTCCAGCTCCTCTGGTCCAGCTCCTCTGGACCTGGTCCAGCTCCCCCTGGACCTGGACCACCTCCTCTGGACCTGGTCCAGCTCCTCTAGTCCAGCTCCTCTGGACCACCTCCCCTGGACCTGGAACACCTCCTCTGGACCTGGTCCAGCTCCTCTGGTCCAGAAGAACACTGGGTCTCGTTCTGAATGTCGGCCTGTAAGGGCCCAGCTCCCTGTCATTAATCCCAGTGTTCCCAGTGTTCCCAGTGCTCTAAAAGATTAAAATTCTGTAAAGTTGCTTCTGTTTTGGACACTGCAAACATCTCCCACAAGTAGAGTCGAACCTCTGTAAAGTCTCTGTATCCATGTGGTTTTTCTAAGGCTACTACAAAAATGTGGATCTTTTTTTTTGTTTTGTTTTATTTATTTTACCAAAACAAAAACAAAAAAATTAAAGATGAGCTACATTTATCCTCTCAGCGTTCACATGAAGAAAGAGAAGAAGAAGCTAAGAGGTTTGCTCGGTTTTGTGTTTTCAATTCGATCGGAGGTGTTGGAGACAGAACAGGTGTGGTTTGGTTTTTTTGGGGGGATTTTCAGAGAGCTGGGGCTGTTTTGGGTTAAATAAGGGGGTCCCTCTGGGGCTGGATTTAGCAGAACTGGAGACCTGTGTAGAAACAAAAGCTGTATAAGGTGAAGCCACATGGAAAGATCTGGTTTGAAATAAGCCTGTTAGAACTTGAAGGATAATATCTGCTAACGTTGGTGTTTCCTGCTCTGCAAACATCCCATAAATGGTGATACTCTATTCAAGTCATGTGACCCTGAGGCTCAATGATATCTGGCTGACTTTAAATTAGGAAATAATAATTGTTTGCCTCTTTGTGTAAGTTTCCAGCTTGGGTATGTTGGCTTTTTGGAAGTTTTGCATGACTATAATGTATCTTAGAATATCACATATTACAAATAATGGACATTTAACATCACTTCAAACAAGTTGATGGAGGGTTTAACCAAACAAATAACATAAATATTACATCTGAAATAGCAAAAGGCAGTTTGTCTTGTTTGTTCTTCATCTCGTTTTGATAAAAATGCATTTATTTAATTTAAAAGTTCACATAAAAGAAGAATAAAGTTGGTCAAATTACGTCTAATGAGGCATGAGTCTTTTCTAAGAAGTGAAAACAGGCGAATTTTCACTGTTTTTTGTCATCCAAGTGACGTCATCCAAAGAAACGCCCACTCTCTGAACGTGGACCAATCAGATTCGGCCAAAAGTAGCACTGGGTTCGCTCGAAACGCGTGGACCAAACAGAGGGCAGTGCGTGGAATAATGTGGGCGGGGCCCAGACCACAGCGTCATTGCCGGCAGCTGCTGAGGCCACTGGGACTGCACGAGGCATTCACCGGAAGCTGAGGCGGTTAGCCTTTCACAATAAGAGCACCAAAGTCTAACTTTGGAAGGGAATCACTGACAGGATCGTTTTGTTTGGAAATGTGAAGAATTTAAGACTCTGGAGACTCTCTAAACTGTGTCGTATATGTTTTGTAAACATATTTGTATGCATAAATGAAACCACAACTCAATCCCACTTAAGAAATGTATGAGAAATATGAGCAAATTTCTGTAATGCCATGTTAATTCGTGTGTTTATTTTATTCTGTTCACATCTATCTATCTATCTATCTATCTATCTATCTATCT